CGGTCCATTTTGTTGAGGATACCGCAAGGACATGGGGTGCATTGGAAGATGCGAAGATGTTGTCTACTGAATGGAGGTAGCAGAGAGGCTGAGTGGAGCTGAGTGGACCTTAAAAACTTACTGCCGGAGAATAGGACGTAGGAGGGTGACCTACGCGCACATCCTTCCTCCAGGTAGATCTTCGATCGGCAGGCATGTTAGCCACTTGGTATGGGCTCATGTTGTGCTAATTTCACCGGCACAGCACCATATGCCTGGGCCGGCTGAGGAGAGAGGGGAGGCCTGAGAAGGCCAAAATCGGAATGCATAACTGATAAATGTTGTTGTAGATAATATTAAGACGGCTAAACTCACGTAAGCCCGGTGTATGTACCAACTAGTTTCGGACTCATCGGAGGTCCTTCATCAGGCTGAGTTTTAATAATTTTATTGATAAATGTTGTGTTTTGTATTTGCTAATAGGTTAAGTGTAAACTGAACTGAATGCGGTAATTGTTTCGTTGTTTTAAAGTATCACAAAACCCTTATGATTTCTTATTGACTTAGAAATAACCTCTATGTCATTTTGTCCTGGTTAAAATTGTTTGTTTATTGGCTGGTATAAATTGGTTGTTGAATATGAAATGTTTAAAAACTTGTGGATAATCATTTTGTTTCCAGGTCGGGTCTAATGAGGCAGCCAGTTGGTGGGTTTATACCAATAATATATAATACCAATCGGTATGGTAACTACTTATATTTATAGCCGGATTTACAGTATGTTAGAGAGTTTTATCGTACATCAATAATAAATCCGTACAGTTTTTGTGTACACATTAAAGCCGATCAATGGTGCAAACCACTAGAACTCAAACCTGAAACCATAAAGACAAAACCCGGTCATGCCACCCACAAGACCGTCACTGACTTATACATACAAAATGCACTGAGCAATTAATAACTCAGCGAGAAACCCTACTCCCTTCGTACTATAGCAGTTTTTAGTTTGTACAACCAAAACTCTCGCGTGTTCGTGCCACATTTCAGCTTTGCCTGCGCCAACGGTTAGTTTTATCGCCGAGCCAGATAGCCCCGATGTGGAATTTTACCCGTCTCTCATTTCCATTTTCCGACGTTATCCCCGCCACCGCCGCAAACATAAACAGTAATTGCGGTTGATTGTTTCGAATTTTCGTTTTAAATGACTGCCGGTTCACGATCATTTTCGAATTTATTCGTTTTTATTCGTTAGATTGAAGTGATCGTTTGAACGTGTGAAAATAGCGGGAATAGTAAGGGTGCGTCTTACTTCTATCTGAAAAGTTTAGCCCAGTCTATACAATTCATACCTCCCATCGTCTTATGATATTTATGTATGTTGAATAGTTTGAAATACAGTACTGGACACCATTGAAGTAAAACAAATTAAATATCATTCATATCAACCATTAAAAAAAGGATACACACAGAAGGATGTATTACTATATTAACTACTTTTTATTGATTCACTTATGCGGTTTTTTATCTATAAATTTTATTTATAAATTCTTTACGGGTTTTATCTTCCTTGTATACACTTTGAAAAAACGGTAATTCATATGTGATTAATTTGTTTGTGTATATACGAATGAATAAATGAATGAATATTCTTTATTGCACACCAAAATTAAATAAAAATGGACCAAAAACTTAATGTAGAATTGATGGGTATAGTGGAAGGCCGTACTACTTAAAGTAATTTCTTCCAGGCAATCTTTGGATGGACTTAACACAAATTAATTTAGGAGTAAAGGTGTGGGTTCGTTATATTAAAGAAGGAAATAAATAATTACTTAATTACAATCAAAGTAATGAGATAAATATATAGATATATACACATACTTGCATACATACAAATACATATGTGATTGTTAAGAAATAAAATGATAGAAAAGAAAAAGACAAATAAAATGACAAGAATTGTTTCTTTACACTACTTTTGAAAATAGTTATTGACTGACCGCGTCTTACTTCTATAGGTAAATCATTCCAGACCCACGCACCCTACACCATAAATGACCTACTCATAACTTGGTTTTGTGCGCAGGAATTTTCAGCTCCAAATTTTCTGATGATCTCAGAGACTTAGAGTGGGATTCGCGTAGAAATTGGAAACGTTCCTTTAGATAAGTAGGATATAAAGGATTAAACAGAATATTGTAAACAAGAGAAAGTATGTGAGTAATCCGGCGAAGACGAATAGGCAGCCACCTGAGCAGAACACGGAAATGTGAAATATGACTATATTTGCGCCAGCCAAATATGAATCTTATTCAAATAAAGAGAAATTTGAATATGCTCTAGCTTATCAAGTAGCTCGACAGTGAGATCTAGAAACAACGTGCGTGTATGTTCTACGTTTACTTCTTCTTCGTGGTCTTCATTACTGAAGGTCGTGTCTGTCCTAAAAAAATTTGAGAGAATCGGCGACGAGCTGCTTCCACACCACTCTGTCTTCGGCCTTCTTCAAGGCAGTGGAAACAGGAAGCCCGGTTATAAGTTTCACTTGATCAGACCAACGGGTAGGTGACCGCCCAGGTGGTATTTTGCCGTTTTTTAAAAAAAAGTACTACGTATACGAGTAAAAAGAAATTTAGACAGGTTACAAAAAGATCATTTTTTTTTTAAAGTAATAACTCAACACATCTGACTTGATGATTTTTTTTCGGTACATTCGTAGTAAAGTTTGCTCAAGTTGCGTATAAACGCGAGTGCTGAATTACCTCGCAGACATTTCGACGTAACAAGGCTGGAACTTGTGCCAATTTACATAAAATCCGTCTCACGGAAAATGCAAAAAAAGAAGAAGAGGCTTACAATTTTATGTTTCTATGTTCGTGCCAGCGCTACAAGACGTTATTACACATTTATTTAAATATGAAAGTTTTTAGTGCTTTTTAATAAAATATAAAATGTGTAAAATTTTATATGAGGTACGAGTATATTGAGGTACTTCAATCTAGATCAAAGTGTCTATTAGATCTAGTCACAATTACTTATATGTAAATATTGATAACATTGGCGCTTGCGCGCTCTTATGAATCGTCAAATTTTACATCAAAGATTATGTATATAGGTTCGTAAGGACCGGTGGTGGTTCGGAAAGCAGTTTCTGTTGAGAAGAGACCGGCAAGAAACTCAACAGTTGCTGTTTTTTAAAAGGTCAGTTTACAATATAATAGTACAGGTATAAGAGTCTTGTTTTAGCCTACGTGTATCACCAGTATTAACACCACACATTGGCGTCGTCAAGATAATCCGCAATTGTATAATAGGCTTTAGCCATAAGTTTAATTTTTCGTTTAAATTCATCAAGTGGCAGACTTAATATCGACTGTAGGATTTTATTATACATGCGTACACTTTGCCCCATGAACGACCTGTTTACTTTTTGTAGACGAAACGTCGTCATAATTAAATTTAAAAATTAGCGATATATCGTCAGCAAACAGTACAACATCACACAACCCACTGGCATAAAAGAGGAGATCATTAATATATACTAAAAATAATAATGGGCCCAAGATTGATCCTTGTTAGACACCCATTTTCATCGGTGGAATTAACATCATTTATAGATACTTTTCGAATTCTATCACTAAGGTAAGAGGCAATGAGATTGAGGGCGATGCCACGAATGCCATAAAATTCTAGCTTTTGAAGGAGAGTTTTATGGTCTACGCAGTCGAAGGCTTTTGAAATGTCACAAAAGACACGATAGAAATTAGATGTAAGTATTGTGAAGATAATGTCAAATGTAAAATTAACAAATACTTCCACTTTACTCGTCTGTGGAGCTATGATCATTCATTCGACAAGAACTCATTCTTCGTTTCCATTCACACAACAGAAGAGACTGCTGTACTGCTACTCTGAATAAGAGGATAGGAGGTTAAATAAAAAAAAAGAAATGGTTGGTGCATTGCATTAACTTTTCTAACTTTCTTCTACTACACTAACTACTCTTTCCATGTATAAATTTTTAATAATGCAATAATAGACCAAATATAACGACATCTAAGGTGTGCATACCTTTCAACCGAATAATGGAAGATTACACTGAGCAATTATTGAATAACAATAATATGTTTTATCTAATTGATTCATTCATTTTCACGTTTATCGAGATAATAGTAATTAAAATAATTTTAGATTGACAAAATAAAGGTTGACATTGACGTGGGATCTTTGATGATATAATACATTAAAATGGACTCAGTTAAGTTGGCTAACGAGGTGCGGCTTAGTCGAAACTCAAAACTCTTGCGATTGAAATTAAATGTTGTTTATTTTCACAACAGCATAATTTTCGCTAAGTTGATACCTTTTTTATCATACCGTATAATAAGTGTGAACATCGTATCGTTGTTTAACATAACTATTATAAAGAAAAAATGAACTAACAGCCTATATACGTCCCATTGTTGGACAAGGAATCTCTGCTGTACAAAAGGTATTCGTTCTGACGGAGACCCCATAGGAAATCGGTAGACTTTACATAATGTTTATTTTATTTTGCGTATTATAATTAAGACAAGCAAGTTGATTCTTCACGATGTTTTCGTTCACGGTAGAGCAAGTGATAAGCCAGCCATTAATATCGCACGTCACAATTTAATTGATACAGGCACCGGGATTTTACTCGGGTTATACGAGTACACTATTTTTAAAACCGTGTGACCTGACACTGAGCTATCACTTGTAGGAAAACTGTTTATACATAATTAAATAAAACAAATGTAATAATATGAACAATGTATACATACTTTAATAAAATCAACAGGAATTCCTGATAAGAGAACACGTTAAAGTCAATAACTATTATTATACTTTAGTTGTAATTTTGCTATCTTATAACATAAATATGCACAACGTTTATTTACTAAATCTAAAATAAATTAAAACTACGCCTCAATACAGCGCCGTCTGGAAACGAAAAACGGAAAGTACTTTCCGTTTCGGGATATGTAGACGTAACTCACCGATCGTGTAAGTGGCGCCATCTATCTGGAAGGTAGCGCTCTTGCACTTCTTGAAGATTTTCCCGCTCACCGACTGGCGGGTGGCGCTGCCGTGCGTCGACGGGTTCGCGGCGACTTCGCGCCCCGCTGCGGCGCTGCTGTCGAATCTGTTGCGGAGCTCCTCGAAAGTAGGCCCGGCAGAGAGGTCCGGCGCGTCCCGGTACCCGCGCCGCACCCGCCCAAACGCCCGCCCGCCCTGCGTCGACTCGCCCGCCTTCCGGTCCATTTTCACCGCCCTACTACTGTCCACTCACAGTTCACAGTTATTTCGCGGTACACACCAGGTTTCGGTCCTCAACCATGATGGAGCTAAAACGTAATTGGAAAGTGAGCACGTGATGTGTCATTCCATGGCCAAGGAAACTATTGTCGACGATGGAATAATTATTTAGTTCTTAGAAAATTTTCCGTTTCCATTTCACGTTTTTTTACTAAACCAGTCATTATTTTTATACTGTAAGGGAAAATTCCATAATATTGATTGTCATTCAATATTTCGTAAACATAAGACAGAAGTTATGTGCCAGAAAATATGCATTTAAAACGATATGAGTACTAGTTTATGTTCCCACCGTCTCCTGAAGAATAAATTATAACAAAGCAACTCGAGTAATATTAAAGAATTCATCGCGTTTCATATGAAAGTCGATAAAAATATTCATAACCTCGTATAAAACGCTATAAAATCGATATCGGTATGAAATCTAATATCGAAATATGATGAACGAAATCAAATTTTATTACGATTCTTCGCATGTTTTATGTACTTTGTGTTTAGAACACATCGTCTTCAAGTTGAGGCTTGGATACGTTTATTTGTCATCATACAGACAAAAGTCTTTTGTCCTAGATTCCCGGAGAGTGATGAAAACCCAACATTTAGGTCGCGTCGTTGCTGCAGTCCATAAATTTTGACGAACGCTTGGACTGATATAATCGAACGTTAAGCTACTTAGTTACATATTCAATATCTGACACGATCATGATATTAATCATATCTACAGAACTTACATTATCTTTTGGCAAATTATGAACTGAAGCTGACAGTACGGTGAAGCTGCCAATTTTTTTTATGAAATACTGGGTTAAATAAAAGAATCAAAAGAGCTGAAATAATGTAACTTGTGTGCAACGATGAAAGTTTAAAGTACAGCAGATTCGAAATACATGTATAAATAGTATCAAATATTTGGAGAATATGGCTTACTACCCGTAAAGGAGCATTTTGGTTCATCTGATGATAAGTGAAGCGTTGGAAGGCATCCCACCAGGTGGACCGCTGACCACCCGGCGGATGTAAATGGCAAAGTGTCGTTCGTTGTGACGTTCTAAAAGGGGCCCTTGCTCAAAACCGGACGTCTTGTGGCCCATTACGATGATGGAGATGATGATTAATATAGCCCATAGAAGCCCAAGTCCAGCAGGGTTGCGGTTGTATTCTTATTTTTTGCAAGTGTGTCTTTCCTACTATCGTATTAGTAATCGAAACTATCACTTGATAGTGGTTTTCTAGGAGGCCGCCATATACTTCCTGATTAAGTCAGTTTATTTCGTAACAAGCCAATCTGTAATCTGGCTACACAGAATATGATAGTTAAAATATCTGTCGTTAACTCTTGAAGTATCTCCATAAAGCACTCTCGCTTTATAGGAATACTTCAAGTTTTAGTTCAAAAACTATTTTAATCAAGTATTCGTATGCTTTCAACTTAGAACTTCAAAGTTTACAAGATAATAAGTCTGTAAATTTAACACGTGTAAGGTTTGTTTCGAGTGAATGCCCAAGCAAAAAGAAGAAATTGCGATGTTCCAAAAGCTTTGCAGCATTTGTGATGGATGTACTGTGCTAATGCCGCCTTTAATAAAACACATTAATATCCATAAAAGTAATTAAACGTTCGTGTAAGCACTAAAAGTCTTTAAGAGTATTCCGATTCAATATTTTTTTAGAAAATATTAGTATCTAATAATCTTAGTATCTACTAATATTTACTTATACAGCATTTACATTCTTTAAACATCAATATTAACCGAGTTATTAAATTTTTCAAAAAAAACAATTTTAGAACACCCTTATGTATAAAATGGTAACATAAATTTCATTTGTAAAGGTCACAAAGCATATGAATGGGTTGAATGAATTTGAAAGAGATAAAACATAACAGCAACAAATGAAAAAGTTTCTGAATATATGAATTAGTCAGTTGTAGTTGTATAGGATGTTACAAATTTTGCTTCTTTTTTATTTCATTAGTTTGTTTGAAAAATTTTCTTTTTCTATTATGGATTTTTTGACGTTTTATATTTTTTCATGATTATTGGCAAGTAGCGTTAAAAGTGTGTTAATTTATTGTCGCGGTTGTAACGACATGCTGTATACTATTCTATATAGTTATTATAATATGTAGTCAATTATAATGGTTATTATTTTATAACAAGATAAATATTGGTAATAGATCAAGGGGTCATAGTGTGTGAGATTGCTAGTAAAAGATTTAGTATATTTTTAGATGTTATCCAATTCTATGCTAGTTAAAAAGGTTTCGACCCGTGTGGTGAAGCCTTGATTAATTTTCCACCACACGTGAATTAGTAAGCTATATTATTATCCGTGTTAATTAACATTGACAGTAATAGGTTTAAATTTTGATATTACATGTTTTATTTATTTTAACAAAAAATTGATATGGATAAAAACAGTATCTAATAGTTATGTAGGATGGTGTGCACCCTCTTAAAAAAAAGGTACATTTTCATTAAAAAAGTAAAGTGAGGTACAGCCTACAAGTATTATTATGTCAGGGTAAGGTCTTCTTCCCTGTACAGAGAGTAATAGGATATAATTCACCACGCAACAACATTGCGAATTGGCGGACATCACATGTATTCGAAATATTTTTATTTTTTTAAGATTATTTTTATTTTTAGTCCTAGTCTCTGCACTCAAGATGAATGTTGGTAAAGCGTCTTGGCGTGAAACCAGAAGACGCAGGCTCGAATCTCGCGCTAAGTGAAAGTTTTTGTTCATTTATAAAGAAAAGTAAAAAATTTATTTTTATTTTGTTTTGATCCTGAAAGCTTGCAGGTTTTCTTACGATGTTTTACTTCACTTTTTTCCATGCTGAGCATGTGATAAGTTAGCACTATATTTAGCCGACTGCGCCAGAAGGGGGGCTATGTTTTTCGATAGTATGTATGTATGTATTTATACATATACATATATATATATATATATATATATATATATATATATATATATATATATATATATATATATATTTGTTTGGCACGTTCTGCAGCCTGAACGGCTTGATGGATGATAAGCTTGAGAGGTGTTGTTAGATTCGTATTAACTGTGAGAATGACACTGGGTACCTATATCGAAATAAAAAAATACGCAGATTACACTGATTTAGTATTTATTGTTTTTTAGTTTTTTAAATTATATTCTACTTGTTTATTTTAAAATAAATATCATTGAAATTGGCTTAGTCGTGATCCTAAAACGAACCCACATTGGCATTCATAAAAATAACCTGATTAAATCGACGATTAAAAGTTTCAATACGGCGTAATTTTTACATAATATATTTGCTAATTATAAAATAGTATAAAGAAACGGTTGTTCTCAAAACCTTCTCGAACCGGAAAACAGTTGATCGATTGCGCGATCTTTCGTTTCAGTTGAAATAGGATCCAGAATAAATCACCTAGCGTGAACACCGACCTACCCCTGGGTCATATAGTACGCATCTCGGGAAATTCGAAAGGGTCTTTCGATGATCTCGCAGCCGCGTGTATTTTCTTGATCCTCGTATTCCCACTTGCGCAAAGAAAACATTTACGCCTGAATAATTCATTGTTCAGAGAAACTTTTTGAATAACCATTTTTTACTAACTGTCCACGCTCTGGGGGGAACACAATCCCGTCTTTGTGAACATATTTCACACGGACAAGAAATCACAAAGCTGTCCGATTGATTGCCCAATTCACACGTGCAGTTGTCGGTCTACTTCACTTAGTGACTTAAGAATTCGATATGAATGGATCATTGTTACAATTCACAGACCGGCCATTGATTTTAAAGAAAAGGTTTTTAATTACATCACTTTTAGGGTTTTAGGGTTCCCAACGGGTTAAAGGGGAAGATTCCGTACTTCTTCTAATTATCAATAAAAACAGCAAAAAAGTCATGTCCGTTTTATGGGAGCTCCACTTAAATAAAAGGTACAATCACATGTAATGTGCATAACAAAAAGTGTACTTGGATTTAACTTTATAATTAACGATGCATGTATTGCAAGACGATTTTATAAATTACAAGAAGATACAACCATTATCTCTGTTAAATCCATGCGCCTTCCAATCAAATAAGCTTTTGTTCGTAGAATGGAATAAACATCATCGAGCAAAAAACACGTGTCGGTCGTATAGTGAAAACTTCAAAATTTTTAAAATAAAATTAAGCGCGGTAAAATCCATAAACATTACCTAGACGAGGCCACTCAATTACTTTTAAAATGTACAAACGTTTACAAAAACTTTTACATTTCAAACATGTGCACGCTAAATTTAATTACATAATAGTCTGAACGCGCGCCGCCCAGCCTCCAAAACTGACGCAACACAAATAAATTTAGCTGCAGGCTGTTGCTATAATGAGGCGCTTTAATTTTGAGCGTAATGTACTTCGTTATGCAATAAAACTAGAAAAGTAAATTGGATGCGGTGGCAATAAGAAAGCTTTATATTGGATTTCAATTTAAAATTGACATTGAGAGATAGTTTAAACCTAGATCCGATAAAGATGGCTGGATGGATGGATGGTTGACTGTTCCCATAATGGTAGGTTTGAACAATTTTGATAGTTGATCTACTAGGACGATTTGTTTTATGTGTAATTAGCTATCGTTTCATATATAGATTGAAGTGATTTTTTATTAAGGTTTTATTATTATTATTAAGCTTATATAATATATTTAATATTATAAAGGTTTTTGCTTTTGCCGATATCTGCGTCATATATCGGCCTCTTTTTTGACTGTTGTAGTTCGACAACAATGAAATTATTTCGTTTACGTTTTATAACAGAGTATTCAACCTTTTTCTGTGTCACTGTTGAAAAATTTATATTGTTCTTCGCTAAACCAACGGTGTTGGAATTTCCGAAGGTCTTTGTTCAAGCCAACAATATTCCCGAGCGGTGTGATCACGCGATTCGAGCT